CAAAATTGCATGTTGTAATTAGCCATTATCCGAAATATCATGAGGAGATATTTAGCTTGTTGCTCCAGTGCATTCATCTGCTCACGCAAAATCATTTGAATTCAACAATGCTTCAACCCAACCACCACACCCTAATGCTTTGAGATCCAAATCTTTCATTTAGTTTCAATTGTTCCGAAATCTGGTCCCATTTTTTTGACATTGTTAATTGAATGAGTGTTGGTGTGCTTGAACCTAAAGAACAACTCCATACACGATTGAAGCTCATAATAGATGTTGGTTCTCCTAATGTTATTAAAAAACAGGTTTGAATTTGATGTTATTTCGATGAATCGACAAATGACTTTATTCCATCATCGACGTTTACACCACTTTGACGGATCTGCATGATTCAAAGATATGTACCTTCCTTCTAACAAAGCTTTCGGTTGATTAGATCTGGGAGTTTGTGTTCCGGTCATCGGCAAACCTTCAACAGATGGAAAATTAAAATAGTAGTTAGTTTTTTTAAAGACAAAAATATTAAAAATTAATTAATAATCATGATATATGTCGGTCACTATTGAATAAATAACTTTTTACTGGACGTAACAGATTAAATTTAAAATCATTACGGAGTAAAATATTTTATATTTATTTTGGTAAAAAATTAATTATTTAAAACAAAATTGATATAATTTAAATATTTATTTTTTAGTCAAACCTAAACCAATAGTTAAACATGAAAAATGAGAAGTAGATATTTATTTAACTTAGACTAGTTTTAAAAGGGATGGAAATTTATTAAATACTTAAATCAGAAGCGAGGACAATACTTAAATTAACTAACTTCAAAATTACGACTTTAAATACATAAAAAAAATGATCCCCCCGCTGCCTTTGTAGTTTTGTCCAAGTATGCTGCGGTTATGGAGGAAGGCATTCTGCTATCAAAGTGGAAACCAAAAATAGGGTTTTTTGGTTCAATTTTGTTATGGCTTCAAGATTAGAAGTTAAGATCCGATTCATGATTGGAGGATACCGACAAGTAACAACCCATTAGGTGTGTTTGGTTCGTTGGAATCACTTAGAACGAGGGGAATTGAAATCCAATTCTACCATTATTTCATGTTTGGTTCAAATTTTCAAAGGAGAAATTGGAATCTAATTCCATCAATTGAGGAAAAGTAAATTACATCCATAACATGATGGAATTGAAATCCTTTGGATGAGGGAATGTGAAATTTGACTATACTACCATCATCAATCTTTTGGTATTCGGGTCGGAATTTTTAAAAAAATTCGGGATCGGTCAGATTTTTTTTAAAAATTTCGGGTTCGGGTTAGGTCGGGTTTTTTAAGTTTGATATTCGGGTCGGGTCGGGTTGGGTCGGGTTTTATAAATTCGTCGGGTCGGTTTTTTAAAGTTTGATATTTAGGTCGGGTTAAGTTTTTTTAAGCGTGATATTCGGGTCGGGTTTAAGGTTTAAGATTTGGGTCGAGTTTAGGGTTTTTAAGTCTCTATTTTTATTGAATAAAAATAATTTTTTTATTATTTCATATCGTTCGAGTCGAGTTTCTAATTCATATATTCGGGTCGGGTCGGGTGAAACTTTATTTTGGTCGGGTTGGGTCTCGAGTGGAGGTTCCCTTGTTCTCGAGTCGGGTTGGGTGGACCAAAAACCCGACCCATGGCCATCCCTAATTGCGATGATTTTAACTTATGATGTTTATTAGCATGATTTTTATAATTTATTGAAATGAATAATCAACCAATAAAATAAAAATTTAATATTTTTGAAATTTTTATAATAATTGCTACATGTAAGTTATAAAACAAACTAAAATAAAACAAAAAGACAAGAATGACAATTATATCATTTTACATTACTGAAATCAAATTCATCTGAGATGTATGCTAACTAAACAAAATATAGAATTGGATTTCAATTCAATTTCCTACCAATCAAACAAGTTTCATATTTAGATTCTAATTTTTAATAGATTCTAATTCTTTCACAGATTCTAATTATCTCATAAATATTTCAACGAACCAAACGTCACCTTAATCTCCTAAATTGGGAATTTCGGCCATCCGCTTTCTTTTTTCTTGCCTGTTTTGGGAAGAAAGCTTTTCTTCAAGTAAATATCAAAAAGGGGTTTGGCTTGTAAGAAAAAGTCGCTGCAGTTCTGAGATCCGTCCATTATTATATTTTTTAAAGAGTAATTTTATCTTCTTAAAAAAAGTGATTGATAGAACTAAATCTTTAATATTTTTTAATCATTTGTATTTTTGTTTTCTAATTTATTTTTGGGTGCAAAACAATTTGTGATCCAATCTGATAAAAGGCTGACACCACCTTCGTTCAGCTTATGTCATTGCTTTTACGTCAATAAATGCCAGAGTTCCTTCAACCCCAAACTCCTCTTCTATAAAGTTGCCATTTAAGATACCCAAAATATTTCATATTTTTTCACTTTTATTTCATTCTATTTTTATTTTCAAAATAACATTCTAAAAGGAATTCATCTGGAAAAAAAAAAGAAAACTAAATGAGATGAGAGTGAAAAACTTAAAAACCTTAAATATTTAGAGTTCGAAAAAAATTAATACCTTAAATGAAAAAAATGTATTGTAGAGATTATTTTATAATACTTTTTTGATTCATTTAATTCAAAGGATGTAAGCAACATTGTGATAATTGAATGGAGACAGGTTCATTAATGAAACAGCCAACGACTGTAGACTTTTCCCAGCTTTCCTGGGATTTCTTTAATGTTCATGAATTTTAAACTATTTTTATTTTAATTCAATTTGTTAACAAAATCGATAAAACGTTGTTGATTTTGTTATTGTTATGTATTTTATCAAAAATATTTAAAAATATGATGTTTTATGTAAAAATAATAATATTTTATATAATTTTTATCGATTTTATTATTTAAATAATAACAAAATTGATAATTATTTTAAGTTATATACCACCATAGAATTTTCCGATTCAGCTCGTAAACTACGCCATCAACAATACATTGAGAATTGACGGAAACTCCTATTTCACCATCAGAAGCCCCCTGCGCCATTTCGATTTCAAAATTCAATAATAATTTTAATTTAAAAACAAAAGCAGCCACAACGTTGTCGATAACACATACCAAAAAGCGACCAATGGCTGCCTTCCTTTTACCACGTAGGATTACTTTTCTTTTTCCGTGGTATTTGTGTTTTCGTTTAAAAACATGGCCACAAATTTATCAAAAACAATCGCGTAACATTTTTATCGGTTAATGCAGTATTTATATTATATTATATTTATGTTTAAAGTTTAATATATATTTATGTTAAAAATTAATATATTTTATTTCGTTAATTTTAATGACGGGGATTTAAAATATAAAACGTATACTTATATTGTTTTGTTGGATTTTTTATATTTAAAAATCACAAAGAGAATAAATAAATAAAATATAAACATATGGTTTAGATCTATTTTCCACGTGATAATTAGCCGCTTCCCTATCTTTTTTTTTTGTAATGTGATAACAAAAGAATATTCTTATAACTATATAGTTTTTTCAATACTAGTGCATATTTCTTTTCTATTTTAAACTGTTATTATTATTGCATTTTTCACATGATATTAAATTATTTTATCTAAATAATTTCAATATTGAGTCACGATATTATGCTTGTCTAGAAAGTTTTAGTGCCCAGAATTTCGTTTTATAAACATATTTAGAAAGGTTAACGTAAGAATTTTTTTTTGGTGGAGTAAGGTTGAGCCAAAAGTTTTAAAAAATTTACCAAAAAATTTACTAATTATAACATATTAACCTTTTACTGAAAAACAAAATCTAAGTGGACATGCCAATAGTTAACAAATTAATTATTAGCATCTCAACCCAACAAATTAAAATATAAGTATGCAGGTTATAATGTAAAATATATTTTATATAATTAATTTAATTTTAAATATTATAATTCTATATTTTAAATCTTAAATCTGATAATTTAATTTTTTTAATCTTAATTGTCTTTTTGACAATATAGAAACTGTAATTTTATTAAAAATAAAAAAATATCCAAAATAAAATAATAACTTACAACCACAACCATAAATTAAAACATATAATAATAACATTTTTTTATAATTATTAACTCAAAAAACTAATTACTTAACATCACATCAAGAATTATATAAGAAAAAAAATTAAAAACATAATAAACTAAACTCGAATAAAAAAGTGATATAAATATATCTGATCGCATTGACAAACGAACTAAAAAAAAGATCAAACTATTGATAGATCACCGATAAATCATAAATCAGAATCGAGCGAAGCGAGAAAACTATTCATGAACGTAAATCGCGTATCAAAATTCAATCCGAGAGCTCAAAACAAAAAAGATTAGCATGATAATAAATGAACACTATCTTAATTAATCGTGCTTATATCAAATTTAATTTAAAAAAAAATTACAATTAAATGATCAAAAACATACTCAAAAGATAGAAGAAACATGTATATATTTTTTTTTATAAAATCAGAGTTATTAAAAAATAAAAAAATAATTAAAGATATAATATAATAAAATAAAAAATAAGGAAGATAGAGGATCAACACTAAGGTGGAGCCCCTGCTGCACAAGAAAAAGAAAAAGAAAGAAAACTTGTGAACCGTTTGTTTTCTCGATGCTGACTGTGTCTTAGCCCCAGGATTTAATTTTTTCTCCACGTGTCAAAATCCGATAGGAACAAATACACTGATGCGTCACCCGATAAGAAAGAGCAGGTTTTTACTCTTTAGGTGCCTACCGGTGATAACCGGTGAAATTTATGGTGACTACGGATAGATCCGGTAACATAGGGTCAATGCTATAAAACCTGGGGTTTAAGCAAAAAAACGGGTGGTTTTCAGAGGGGTTTGGCAATCAGAGAGAGAGAGAGAGAGAGAGAGAGAGAGAGAGAAAAATAAATTATTTTCTTTTTTTGCTGAGAAAAAAATTGTCAATTTTCAGGGAAATTCCCAAATGGATTTCGTTTGAAAAACACAGAGAAGATTTCCCTTTTGTTTTCTGGAGAAAATATGGGGTAGAAAAAATAAGTGAGTATTGTTCTTTTTATCTCTCCTTTTCCTCGTATGGGAAGACAATTTTCATCTTTGTTACTTCTTTTCGCAATCTTACGTTTGGTTGTAAATTTCATTTCCTGAGCGAAAAGTTCATAGTTTAGAGGTAAGAATTTTCTTTTTCCAGATTTTCCTCCCGCGAAAGTTTTTGGGCCTCTTGTGTTTGCTTGCCTAGAAATGGTGAGAAAGTGAAAGGAAAATTCGATTTCGGTGGTAATCCGAGGACAAAGCTTTTAAAGGACGCCGGAGCTTTAATATTTTTAAGCTTCAAACGCCTGTTATTTTTCTCCTCTGTTTTCAGTTTTCTTTTGAAAATTCTTATAATTTGTCACTTTTTGACGTTAAATTCTTCTTCTTGTTGATGAATTTGGATAACAAGTTATTCGATCTGGAATTTTTGGACATTTTATTGGAAAAGCCGAGGAGATGATCAAAGATCCTTTTTTAGCAGTTTGTTTTTCAAGATAGATCTTTTCTCCAGGGTTTTATATCTTGTTAAAAGCAAATTTCACCTGAGTTGCAAATAATTTATGGGGTTGACGTCTGAGTTGGTAATTTGGTTTTTGAATCCTCTGTGTCGGGGTTTTGTTGTGGTTTAAGGGGTTTTCTTTCTAACTTAAATTTGCTAATTTCTCTTAACATTCCCCAGCTCTCTTTTGAATTTACAAAATTTTAATGTTTTTAACAGAGAATTTGAAAAATTAAGGGGTAAAAAGCACTTTATGGTTTTATGCATCTGATGTGGATCTTTCCATAGAAGACCCTTTGAGGTAGAAGGTTGAGTATGGATTTTCCATTTCCGATTATGTTGGTCTTTTTGAAGTCATGGAGGTGAAAATTGGGAGTGGCATATGATTTTTTGCAATGTCTTTATTATGTTTATTTTCTGATAGAAGGAAACTTTTATTTTCTTTGAATTTTTTTTCATGACTTGAATTTAGTTTCTGTTTTGCAACTTATTTCTAAAATGGTTGTGGGTTTTTATGTCTATTTAATCATAAACATAATTTAGCTGAACTCTTACATTCTTCTCTTATCAGGGTCCTAGAGACATTGATTGATTCTATTTCTCATACATTCAGTCTCATGGAAATTGAGTCTGCCGTGAGTTGCATATGATGTGTTCGATGTGGTGCTATCATTGAGACATGGTGTTGCAGAAGAGATTGGACTATGGATTCAGTGGCTATGAGGTGCCTGCCGTTCCTCGAGCAACCAGATCAGCCAGGGTAATATATTGAAGTGTGATACTGTTGTATTTCATATTTACTTGCAAATATTCTGATCTGTTTTAAATTGCTACTGTCTCTCCTTTTTTGTAGAAAAGAGTTCCATTTAGAAAGATAGTTGAAGGCAACCAGATAAGTGCATTTGATTTGCTGGCCACTGTAGCTGGAAAGTTGCTAGATAAAGAAAATGATACTGCTTCAAATTATACATGGAGTGCTGAAGATCAATCTGCGGCTGAAACAAATACCGTAAAAGAGGAAAGGGGGGATGGTAATCAGTCATTGAAGCTAGAATTTTGCAATCAAGATGGCGCTAAAGCTGAGTTCTTTGCTTCTGAACTCGTTTCACAAACTAGTGACTCAAACTATAGTTCTAAGGAATCCCCTAGCCTTCGAAATGGTGCCCTTGTAGCAACTTCTGATTGCTTAGAAAGAGCTGATGCTCAGAAGTTGATGAATGGAAAAATCAAGAAAGAAATGGGAGGTTTGTCTTGTCATGTAGAGGCAGGTCCCTCTGTGTGTGGGACATCTGGTGATGGTATTAAACCGGTGTCTGAAAATAAATTGTTGATGGACGAGGAACTGGATAGAACTGATAAGGCTTTGATCGGAGAAGTGGCTGATAAATGCTCCTTGGAGGATGCACTGGTCTTGGATGTTAAACCTCCTGCTATAGTTAGTTCAGACGGTAGTTTTAAGGCACGTTCGTATGGGGACCACAATCCCCTTGTTTCTTTTACCGCAAAATGGGATGATGTAAATGTAGTTAGTAGAGATGATGATGAAAAATCTTCAGGGTGTACTCACCCTAGCCCCCTAAGAGAACCATTTAGGTCAACCCCTCGTATTGTAGACCGAAGAATAAGGAAGATTCTGGCTTCTAAATACCGGAAAGTAGCTCCAAGGTCGAAGAATGTGACAAATTCCAATTTTGGTTTGTGGCTCCTTGTAATTAAAATCATTTCAGTTTTGAGTATTTCATCTGGTAACATATGTAGTATATTTACAAGTGTGTAATTTTAATTAAATGGATTTCTTGATCCTTCAGATGAGAATTTGAAGTCTGGGTACTGCAATAGGAGTGCTTATAAACGCTTAAGATCTGGAAGGAACTATCCTTTCAAAAAAAGGAAGTTTTTTTACTGTAGATCAGAGTCAAATTCGGACGGAGGAACCAGCAGTGAGGGCATTTCTGATTCATCTGGTAACAACAACAACAGAAGTATTTCCATTCTATATTCAAAGATGCATGGAGGTGATGTAAATACTTTTCATCTCTAACTATTAGTTTCGTTTCTTGGTGTTTATTGCTAACATCTGCATTTTGCTAATTTGTTCTAAATCTTTTGCAGTCACCGGAGAATCATCTTCACCAGCAGATCAACACAAATCATTCACCTCTAGTAATTCCCACGGTACGAGAGCCTTTGATGGAGTGATTCACATGTAACTCTTTTCACTTGATTGGTGGGTGTCATTGAAAGAGGTTCTTACATCAAGATGTCTTTCCCTGTACTCAGTGAAGCTCAGGATCAAATCTTTCAGAGTGCCAGAATTGTTTATTGAAATTCCAGAATCTGCTACTGTTGGTTCTTTGAAGGTATAATGATCTATGATTCTGATCTTTGTGGTAGAATGTTTGACTGCTCTTCCGAAGTTTGACAGTAGAGTGCTTAGAGATATTTCTTGGATTTCTTTTTGCTACATTTGAACCTTGAAGATTTATTTCTGTTCTATAAGTATCACTATCTGCATTTGTATTTCTTTCTTAGAGCGCCATCTTACTTCAACCCTTGATGGATACTTGGGCAGTATCTTTCATAAATTGTAATTCCAATGTTTAGTCTCATCTACTGGCTGCTTGGTTATTACAATTCCTCTAATGATGTGAAATTGATCTGTAGAGGACTGTAATGGAGGCAGTAACAACGATACTTGGAGATGGATTGTGTGTTGGTTTACTTCTTCAAGGAAAGAAGGTTAGGGATGACAATAAAACTCTGCTGCAGACAGGGATTTCTTGTGATAATCAGATGGATACTCTAGGTTTTAGCCTGGAGCCTAACCCTTCTCATACTTCCCCTTCATTATGCCCTGGAGGTTCTCCCTTAAAACTACCCCGTGACACCCCACTACCTCTATCTAGGTAATAAAAATAGTTTCACAAGTTCAGCAGATATCTACTTATATGTGATGGTTTAAGTATGTTCTCATTTTGTTGTTCTAGACTTAATAAGAAGTATTTTTTTAACTAAGTGGTTTCTTTCTTTTTTATTTTGGAAAAAAGGATAATGTTGCAATTGCTGGCAACTATTAGAATCTTGATCTTCTAGGATCTACTTTTTTCTCCTGAATGCCTCCTTGTTTGAGGAAACAGTTTTCTCATTCAAGAAGTGTTGGTCTTGAAGAGCTGGCTGACATTTTGCCTCATTCGAGATTCTTACCCTTATCTCTCAAATACTCTTAACCATCAGATCAAGTAAGAGTTATTTGATTACTGTGCAGATTCATTTTATGATTTAATACTATTTTTTGCCAGGTATCCAGCAAATCCTGGTTTAGTTAACCAGGTTACTTGTGATCCCTCACCTGAGCCTCGCAAGCCTAATTTGGGCAACTTTATTGAAAGCAATAATGGTTGTGCATCCTCACCTACTGATATGTTTGACAAAAGCACACATGAATCTAAAGCACTGTTAGCTGTACCTGCATTGAGCATGGAGACATTAGCTGTGGTTCAAGCTCATAAGAAATCCAAGCAATCTGAAGTTGCACAGCGAAGAATTCGTCGACCTTTCTCTATTACCGAAGTTGAAGGCTTGGTTCAAGCTGTTGAGAAACTTGGAACTGGAAGGTTATGTTTGAACCTAACCAAGAAATGTTGCTTATTTGCTAATTTTCGACCAGTTCATCATGATACCCATTCAGAATTTTGCATGATTGCTTTCTCTGGTGAAAAATGTAGTCAGAGCTCAGAAGATACTCTGAATGCTGTTTTCTTTGCCACTCACTCTTCACTTGCAGGAGTATGCTGGATGTAACTTAGAAACTGTTGGCCTAGTTCTGTGGTTACGCATACAGTCGTGGTTTTAATGGCTTTATTAATATGCAGGTGGCGCGATGTTAAATTAAGAGCTTTTGATAAGGCGAAGCATCGCACTTATGTTGATTTGAAGGTAAGTCCAAACTATACTCTCATAAAGCCACTTCAAAAACTGTTTTTGTCCTTATTTTGGGCTAATCTCTAGACCTGCTGAGTGCTAATGAATCTGCTTCTTACTCGTATTTTGTTTTTCATATTTTCATGGCTTTTACCAAGTGACCTATTGCCTCTTTATATCTTTTGGTTTTAGCTTAATACAATCAAACTGCATGTTTCTTGGCCATCTTGATAGGTAGATCTAAATAATTTTGATATGGGTGTAATCATATTTTTGTTGGGTCGTGCAGGATAAGTGGAAAACTCTACTGCACACGGCAAGGATATCCCCACAGCAAAGGCGCGGAGAGCCGGTGCCCCAAGAACTCTTGGAAAGGGTCCTAAATGCACACACCTACTGGTCTCAGCAGCAAGCCAAGCAGCAGCCGTTGCCGGAGAGCTGCCTTCTCTATCATAACTCCACTATGATAGCTAGTAGCCGAAGTGATGTTGACTAAATAATCTTAGGTTGATGATGAGTTTAGGAGACATTGTCAAATACTTTTTTTTCTTATTGATTTCTTGTATTTGTATCATGATTATGTAAAAAAAAAAAAAGTTATGCCAAGGATGAAATAGTACTAAGAAATCTATGTAATATTTTATGGTCTGTTCTGGCAATAACGATACTTGTCCCTTTTGTAAATGGTTGTAATAAAAGCTTGCTACTCGCTTAGCTGAATTGAACTTGAGCATAGTATATTTTTCCCTTTCATGAGATTTGGTGAATATGTAAATTATTTAGATTAAACCTTGAGGGTGACACTTTCTTAACAAAAAATACCCATATCAAAATTTTATTTGAAAATGTAAATAGAATAATTGATTCTTTTGGCAACTAAAATGATGAGGGCATGTACTATTTATTAGGCTAAGGTCATTAATAATCTTTTCTGGCATTCATTCTCCTATTGGTTGGGTTGTATCTACTCTTTGCAATGTCACCCTCAGTCTCTTTCACAAAAAGCTATTTATGCATTATTGGAGTTTGAAATTGGTAAAACAATAAAGGTATCGGATAAGTAAATTGAAAGGCTGAAAATAGAATGGCTTGGTTTTCTTTTCTCTTATTTTTGGACTCTGGAAATGTCTGATCTTGAGAAAGAGATGCATGTTAGCCTATAAAATATGGAAAGGATTTTTTTTTTTTAAAGAAAAACAAATATTTGTTAACTGGGTTTTGAATAATGAAATTGTTCTACTGTTTTATTTATGGATTAATTTATTTTGTGAATAAATTCATACATTATTCGTATTAATCAAATTCATAAATAGTTTTGGGTTTAGAGAAATATAACATTTACTTTCAATGAAAAAATTAGTTCAAATAAATTATTATAAAACAAATAAATTAGTTCAAGCATTAAAAAGCCTAAGGCTTTTCAACTCAAAACAATTATTATGGTTTTTAAAGCCCAATGATGGGTAGGTACCCATCAGCCCTATAGAAAAATGCTTGCTTCGCCAAAAATAACGAAGACAATTTTCCTTATTTTTACACATTACTTGTATTTGTTCAAGTGATTTAGCTAACAAAAACTCTTGATTTTTACTGTACGTATAGATATGGGTACATAGAAGAGAGTGGCGCCCTAAACAATCCGACGGTTTTTCTTGCATACTGAATCCCTTTTAAATCGACCATGACGTTGTGCAGTGGTGAAATAGCTTCGCCATCCTATTTACGACCGCATTAGGTTCCCTAAACTGAGAATTTTGGCCATGCTTAATATTTGACCCAACCAAGCCAGGATAACCCCCGCAACTATTTCTATTGTTTCGATTCTACCACTTTCGACCCATGATAATATTTCTTTCTTTGACTGAATCACTGATACAATATTTTTATCATATTTTTAATTGAAAAAAGATTCTTAAACAACCCTCGTCTCCTGCTTTCATACACACACACGTGTCTTCAATTATTAAAAATCTAGCTGAGAAGGCAACAACAGTACATGTTAACGATTTCGGCATTGCCTATGGTTTTCAAATGGCTTTGCCTTATCCGTCGTCTCTCAGCAAGGACCGGTGGGTCGCCTAAGCTTCGCATCACGAGGATTGGCTTCCCCCAACCTGCGGAAAGAATCCAAGCTGCAGGTCGTCACTTAAGAAAGATGTTGTGAGAACGTTAATGTCCCATGCCGTAGCAAAAGGATGGGAAACAATCCGAGTCAAGGAGTCAATGATCGAAAGTTGATCTTCGTTAACAGTTTGTACAGGCTAAGGAATCTCCCTGATGATTCAATCATGTTGAACCGTCCAAGGAACATTGTGTTAAAGCTGATCAAGAGAATCAATCCAAATCTTTTCATCCATGGAAATTTTAATGGTAATTACAATGTTTCTGTAACACCCCAACCCGTACCCGACCCGAATACGAGTCCGAGATGTCACATTGACTTTTTAAAACAATATTCGTATAAAATAACAGAACATTTGAACTTATATTAATAAAATATGATCATATATTGTTGAATTATGTTCGTTAAAACCAATTTGAAAAAAAATACGTTTTCATGAACACAAAAATACGGTATGAACAGTGCCGTATGAACAATACCAAATTCTAAAAATTTTCCAGATTGCTTAAGGGGTATCAATTCCCCTGCTACAGGGAACCGATACCCTGCTACAAAACTGCTACAGTACCTCGACAAAACATACATAAAACTCGTAAAAAATTAACCGTTCATTACTATACATTCACCATTTATATATATATATACATTTGAAACATTACAAAACTCAATCATATGATTTTACAAACCATTTAGAGCATATTGGATTCAAATCTTTATTACATGCCAACCACTATCATTATTACAAAATACAAACTATTTAATTCTTTTCTGATATGATCATTGAAAAGGAAGAACTGACATGTCTTGCATAACTTTTATTAATCTTCCTCTTCTCGAAACCTACGTGTGAAACAATCACACGCTAAGTCATTGTCTTAGTGAGGCATATAAAACATAATTATATGTTAACTGTAACTTCTATAATGCATGAACATTTGATACTACCTTATCATACAAAAGCATATATTCTTCTCTGTAATATATACATACATGCACATATCATGTAACATAACATCATTAACATGCTTATCATTTATTATTTTATCATATCAACATATAATATAAACTCTAAATCATACCAATGCATAAACTGTTATAACCATTTTTTTATAAAACAATTTAATATTATTTTAAAAAAACGATTATGACTTTAATTTGGAAAAATTGGGGAATTTGGAATTAATTTGGAATAAATTGAATAGAGTCGCCATCGACCTTTAGGTTAGGTAGGTCGAATACCTAAAAACGTCTTTTAAAACAATTTAAAAAAAAATCATTTTTAAAGACAAAAATGGTCTGCGTTTACCAAATGTTCGATTTGATGGGTTCGGGAGTCGGTTACGCGTGGGGAAGGATTAGCACCCCACAACGCCCAAAAACTGGTACTGTGTCGCTTACATGTTGTCGTAAAATGGTGGAAATTACAAATCAAATATAAAGTTAAAATATGATCCGTTTATTGAACATTAATTAATTTGCTTTGAATCAATTAATTAGAGAAAATTCCTTAATTCGAAAAGAAATCTCGAAATTAGCAATCCTCCATCGAGAAAGGTAACTCGACTATTTCTTATCAATAAAAGAATATTCCCTCGTTAATAAATATATGAATCGACTAAAAATGAAAATCGACTATTTGCACTCGCATTCAATGAAATAAATTGATAAAGAAATCGACTATACATCGTAGAATGAAAATCAATAACTTACATGAAATGAAATAAATTATTATTTAGAGACATTCATTGCAATGTTCGATTTAAAATGAAATAGATTAACAAAATAAAATCAAATTAATTTCAAGTTCACATTTGTTCGAATGTCATATCGGATTGTACCACTTCGATCAAGCGATACTTTCCATGCACGTTCTACAAATTTGTGTTCTCAACATTATTCGAATTAGTTATGAAATGTTTAACCAAATACGAGAGATACATAAAGTGCTGACACAAAATAAATTAATATGAATATAAATCATGGAAGAAAAGCAAATATATGTATATATAAGGCACAAAGGTGGGCTCCACACGAAATACACATAAATACACTTAACATAACACTTATATACATAAAAAATAAATAAATCCCGAATATCATTCAATTTGCAAATTAGAAATTTAATAGGAAAAATAAAGTAAATAAATCACATTGCACATACAATTTATATATATATGGAAAACATAAATAAATAAATAAATAATTTAATCGATGTAAACATGATCTATGCACTAATATAAATATATTTACACCAAGCAAGCATACACATTATAATTTAATATTAGGGCCTAAATGAACAAACATCAAACCTGGCAAATCAAAGTGTGAAAAAGTAAAACTAACTGCAAGGAATAAATAAACACATCACAAATTAATAAGTGAAATCAAACATTTAACTAAAAACAATTAACAGTGTAAAATGACTAAAATATAAGAATGATGAAAGTTAAAGTTCGAAGTAAAATACCCAACATTTCAATTAAGGACTGAAATATAAGAAAATAAAATAATATGATACTAGCAGAAACTTACCCAAAGATAAAATAACAAAAAAAGGACTTAAATGAAATAAACACAAACATGAAGGCCGAATCATAAATAAACCAAATGTAAAACAGTGACCATAATAATAACTTTACAAATACCATGACTAGATTCTAATATTAACAGAACATGATAACGCATTAAATCAGTGACTAAAAATAAAATATTTACAAATGTCATGTCCAAAATCAAATATCCATAAAGTATACAACACATGAAATTAGTGACTAAAATACACTAATAAAAACATATACAGGTTAAATAAAAGTAAATAAAAGTACCATGGCCTCAGCTTAAATAAACGCATAAAATATTTACAAGATAACATGGATGAAATTGCAACATTTACAAAACAAGAGCTCGAATTAAAAGTAAACAAAGTTTTATTGATGACTAAAATAGACGGTTACAAAATAGAAAGGACCTTTAGGGTAATAAACCCACGTGTGTAATTGCCATCTGGGTCCTCTTCAAAACGGTGCCGTATTGAAGCTGGGATATAATCCCCATTTAAAGGTTATTAACCGAACCCTAAATCATTTTCAAACCCCTCTCTCAGCCTCCTTTTGCCTTTCCCTTTCTCTACTCTCCCTTCTCCCTCGCCGCAACAACAAAACAGAGGCTCCCCGACCACCGTATCGGTGGCCATGGGGAGCAAACCGACCCCTAAAGACCCTCAATCCTCTTTCTTCCTCATTTCCTTTGAAAACCCAACCCTTCACCCCAAAAAAAAACCGAGAACCCCTTTTAATCCAAACCTAGATTCAAGAAAAAAACGTTTTACCTTCGATTCTGGGTTTTTCAAGCTCTGGTGAGGTTGATAAGGGATAGATCTACAAGGGTAAGACTTTCTTTTTTCTTTCTCTCTATGTTATTTTCTTTTTTCGAATGCTCTCTATTTTTTTTTTTGGTTCTCACCGAATGCCCCCCATATCTCTTCTCTTTGGTCCTTTATCTTTCCTTTTTGCTTGTTGGATTCTTGTTGAGATGATGATGTCTAGAAAAAATAGGGGATCGATCTCAGATTTAGGAATGGGTTTCTGACTTAGGGTGATGAAATCC